ATCAGGTAGAGGATACTCCTAAATCAGGTATAGGATACTCCTAAATCAGGTAGAGGATACTCCTAAATCAGGTAGAGGATACTCCTAAATCAGGTTAGGGATACTTCAAAATTAGTTTGATGAATACTCCTAGAGATACCCGTTAAAGTGTTTTGTCTATCGGCGGCACAGAATTCGAATTAAAGATTCTCTTCGTATAGTACCTAGGAAATTTGCTAATGATTACAGACTGCCGTTCACGGATTAAATGCCTGGCAAGATTTTTAAGTTTTTGACGATTTCTTAACGTAAACTTAAACGGATTTTAATAGATTGAAAGTTACAACGCTCTAGCCGAAATGTTCTAGCCGAAGCATCAACAGACCAACTTTCAAGGTTCACCATAATTCCCGCGTGTTTCTTTTCGGAGCGAATCAGAATAATTACTAATTTACTTTGTTAATGCATATTTACTATTTCAAAACGCACTCAACAAAATTACTTTATTCTGATTGGACAAGGAGTGCAATTAAATCGAAAAACGACAAGCCCGATAAATACTTTCTCAATTTTTTTATTCAACTGAGTTTAATACTTCAAATTTTTAAGCGTTTCATTTATGTTACTGCTGCTCGAAATTTGTAACGATTTTTTTTCGAATTAGAGTAAAGGCTACTTATTCACGAAAATATCAGTTTTTCTGCTGATCAAAATATCACCTCTCCCAAAATACGGCTTTATATCTCAAATACGCATAAATAAATTTTGGTCGCATTTGATATTTTCCTATTTGGCTCCAAAAGAACGTGTTTACAAAATATTGAGCTTAAATACGTAAAGCTGTACTTATTACGAAAAAACCAAAAACCGTTTTTCTGCCCTGTCATATATGACCGTTTAAATGTAATCACACTTAATGAGTGGCGACCAATGATACACTTACAGCTTGCCGTACCTCCGGTACCCCCGTAAATTGAGCCATTCGTTGTTAGCAAACCTTCATGACTGTGATGGAATAGACCTCCTTGGCTCTGGAGCGATCGAGCCTAATGTTGTTCCATTTCAGACCACGTGTCATTCCCTTGAGAATAATATTCTTTCTTTGAGTTGTATCCATTATTCATGTGTCTTCTCATCTGCAACCGAGCGCAAACCTTAAACAAAGAAATTATACTCTAGGGAATGACAGGTGATCTGAAATGGGAAAACAATATGTAAGAGCCGAGGAGGTCTATTCAAATCCATTGGGCTGCGCCCCCTCCACCGTTAACAACTTAACAAAAGTTAAGTATCATTTTAATTAACCCAACTGCATAATAATAATCCCGTAACTATTCCCTCTGCGTTTTAAATTCTCAAAGCCCATTTTTCAAAGCAACGGTATTTATGACGGCTTCAGTTACACAAAAGCCATATTTCTTTTATTTTTGTGGTCTGTAAGGCACACTTGCGTGAAAAAAAAAAAAAATCCGGGACTTCCGGTTAGGATTTTTCTCGAATTAAATTCTTTTGTCGAGCATACGAAGTAAGAAATAAAGAATATTGCCTTCAAGCATATGATTTTTCCTTTCTCTTGTTTTCAGCTGCCAAGCTGGATTGTGTCCAATATCCCTGCCCCAAAATGTCCCGTGGTATTCGCCATGCAAATCGTTCCGTGGTACTTCCCTGTTTAACCAACGAGTACACTATGGGATCGAGAAACCAACCGAATCGATGCCATTTGCTCGTCTCAAGCATGGGATTGTTAGTCTCACAGCTATACTAATCAAAGATCCATTCCTGAAGTTCCATGCAGATAAATGGCGGGGGCTCGCTGTGTTTAACGAAGCAGCGAGATCTTCGTACATGTTATCGAAAGTCTTTGCTCCAACAATTCCGACCATGAATGAGTTCTCGTCTATTGCAGAGCATTTTAAAAGAAAACCGAAGCTTCTTTTACATGTAATTTTTTTWTTTATTTTGGGGGTGAGGGGCACAAAACCGTATTAAATTAGGCAAATGATGTACGATAACATCTACCTATTAAATTCGTCCTGAATCCATAATAACGGAAATAAAGTTACACTTAAATTTGGTCAATACTATCGACATGTATAGAAACTGACCTTTTTAAATGCAATAAATTTAGAATATTGATTTGTTTGATTTGAAGCAGTTGACTAAGATGTCTTTCGTTCGGTTTGATACTCAGGGCTACGCAAAGATACCATCCGATCAAGAGCCATTTGACAAATCCAAGACTGATTGGATGTCAGATCAACATTTTGCTGATCAAAGACTGGCTGGAACTAATCCAATGAATCTAAATAAGATAACTTTCTCTGGTGAAAGTAATACCTTTATCATCATAATGTATTTTGTCAAATTTCAGAAAACCTTGCATTAGCGGGCCGTCTAATTAAGTCAAGGCACGGCCAACTATAACGGCTAACTTACCGGGTTTAGTAGGCTGGGGTTTGCTGCATGAGAGAGGAGACAACCAAATAACCCAAAACAAATCCTCGAATCGAGGAAGAGAAAAACAAGGGCATGAAAATTGGAATAAGAATTTTTTTGGGACATTATGGTATACTAGCAGTAAAATATGAATTATATTGATTTTAAGAGACATTTTATTTTTTCTATATAGTGGGAGTAAACTGGAATGAATTGAAATCAACATTGAACGAAAAGTTTGAATGGGAGAGCGTTGTCTCAAAAGCATTGAATGGAATGCCCTTTGACACGGTAAGGAAACGTCGAAAGCGTTCAATATTTCTAAAAGGCAATGCTGATAACGTGCGCACTAAAATCGGTTGGTTTAGCAAGAAAATATATAAGTCTAGTGAAAATACGCAGGTGATAATAGAAAATCTCGCGCGCTGATTGGTCATGGAACTCACACTATCACACGATAATCACCTCGAGCGAAAATCCAAAATGGCGGCCTGCTGCTTTGTTGCTGTTACCGGAAAGAAAATGCCTTTTGTCTTCTTTTTTTCTTAATCTTTTTTTGAAAGAATCACCTGTGTATTTATACTAAAACAATTATTTGCCTCAGGCTTAGTGGTTATTGGGGAATATTTACCTCGCCGCTCGAAGACTCGCGTATCGGTAAATTTTCCCCGATAATCACTTCGCCTTCGGCGAATAATTGTTAATTAGGCACTGCCTAAATGTGGAGCTCCCAAAAAGGCACAGGAAACCCAATTTAGATAAAACTTGCAGGTGAAAATTAAAATCGGTGCGAAAAAAATTACTACAGATAATTTAATAAAATATAGTAAAATATAGTGAAATTTACTTTGTTTTTTTTTTTTTAAAAATTCCAAATTTAGGAGATTTCTAGAACTTTTTAAGGACCAATCAGCACTCGTCGATCAAAGAAGGGGTTAAAAAAGTAGAGCAAATTACAAAATAAGCTTAATTTAACTTCTTTTCCACTTCTTTTACATAACAATTTTTGGTTATCCACATGAAGAGTTTTATCTTTTTATATGAAACGTATTCTCTCCCCAATAAAAATTAAACACATAAATGGAAGCAGCAAAATTAATTAAACAAATATTTGGTAGCATTAAAGAGAAGAAAGTAAGCTCGCGATTACTCGCCTAAACTAGACAAATTTTCGAGACCCTGCAGCGACAACCAGATGTGTTACTTAAAATAAAAATAATTTTCTGATTCTAATTCTACATTAAAATATTTTCATTATTTTCATATGAGCATAAACCATTTTTCGAGAATCTTATAAACTAATCTTACTGGATTTTGAGATTTCATTTTACCAGTTTTTATCTGCTCTAATGTGTGAACGAGATATGAAAATCAAGAACGATAAAAATTTTCGAAAAATAAAGTTGATATTCAGTTAATTAAACTTAATAAAAACCGAGATAAATTTATTAATGCAAATTATGTATTCCATTTTATATTTTCATGTATGTTTAAAAAGATTTTCTATATATACAAATATTAAAACTATTAAGTAAAAGTCTTCTTTGCTTTGCCGATGGGAAGAGAACGAAACTGTTTTTCATGTACGTACTAAATATGCTACTGCGATAGTTGGTTAAAAACAATCAAATTATTGAAGATTTATAAGCTAAATAAAGCGCGAATATAGTTTGTAATATGTACTGTTTTTATATTTTATCGAGCATTATAATAAATTACCTATAAAAATATGAAACGTTTTGCGCTGAGAAAGTCTTTGATAAATTGTCGATTTGATGAAAAAAACTGCTTTTCACAAAAGTAAAAATATTATACAACTGCTCTCTAAAAAACACACACCTGAATTCTTGAACAATAGTTCTACATCCATCTTTAACTAGATATTTTTTTCTGTTGTTGTTCTTAAATTTGTCCTAAAGCGTTGTTTTCTGTGCCTTTGAGAGCCGGGTTTGTTAGTATACAGTCCTTTGACTAAATAAACGTTGTCGTTAGATCGGCTTCATCCCTACGCGCCTAGACCGAAAAGGATCATAAGAATAGTTACTAGCTGCCGCATATGTTATCTAACACATCTTGAGCTCGCTTTTTTGGTACCCATTTAATTTGCTGAAACCATGCCTCGAGCATAGGGCGAAAATGTAAACTGGCGAGCAGTTTGGATGACACAATATCCGGGTAATTTACCCGTTTTCCTTTTCGGTCTAGGTGCGTAGGGATGATCCGATCAACGACAACGTTTAGTCAAAGGACTGTATTTGTTTTGGCATCAAGCGCGATCCCTGGGTTGTGTAATTGGACGTACGTATACGGACGAAAGTTACGTAGTAGTCAGGCCATGAAAACTCAACTCTATGGGCCTTTGGCCTGCGCTGGAGCTCTGCTAAAAACAAATTGGGTGGGGGTTCTCTATGTCTTAAGTTACGCCCATTGATCGAAAGACAGCCAAATGTTCATTTGCAACAACCATTACCTAACCCTTACCTTCCGTAAGTAGGTGGTCGTAGGCTGCCCTTAAATGGTTTTATTTAAATCTAGTAGTATTATGTATGCTTTATCAATCACGAGACGACCGGCTTCGTTATATAACAATGTATATTTTTTTATCACTAAATTCTATCGCCCCGTAGTACATAAGACATTTTGAGTATAAGCCTATGTAGTTGAAAAATTATCCCGCCCCGCGCGGGAGCTCTGCTAAAAACAAATTGGCTGGGGGTGAGGGGGGGGGGGGTATATAAGCTGCTACGCCCTTGCATATAATAACTAAGTATAACTTAAAGCAAGTGCCTACGAAAGAGGTGCCTGGCGAACGCTTAATGAAGGATATCCACCGAGTAGAGGTTTATTTTACAATTAAGCGGGACCGTGCAATCAGCTGTCCGTTCAAAGCAGATTAGAGTATCCGCTTAATAAGAAACGGCTTAAGATAGGTATTATTATCCTATGAGGCCTTTTGGGCCTCTGAGTCCCGATGTCTCTATTACGATCGACTTTGATATATTGCAGGCCATCGAAGAAGGACACCTTTATGTCCTACACCACCCTTATGGCGATGACTTGATGACGCTGGCCGATGAGGTAGACAAGGATCCTAAAAGAAAGATGTGGAAATTCATGTCTCCGATTGCTCTCTTTGCATCCGTACCATCCAAGGATTCTTCCTCTGAGGCAAGACTGCTGCCTGTTGCAATTCAAATAGACCATTAACAGAGTATGAAAAACCTTTCGAACTAAAATTACCTTTAGAGATTATTTCTTAGATTGATGATCATACTCTATCAGCAAATCTGGCAAAATTACTATGAATTAGTAATATCATTGACAGGAATGGTCTTGGCTTGTTAGAACGCTTCATGCTACAGTATATCAATCATAAGGATGCAATGGTTTTTGTCCGTATTATGTGCGGTGCATGATGTTAAAATGCATGAATCTATTGAAACAACTTGTTTGCTAACGGTTTTTTTTAGGTTCTCCTGTCTATACCCCAAACGACGGTGACTTGTGGACCTTAGCCAAACTCAATGTTCAGCTCACAGACTTGGAGGTCAGTCAGATTGTAGAACATCTTAGCAAAGTTCACTTCATAGCCGAAGGATTGTGTGTAAGTGTGGAGAGACAGTTATCTTATCAGCACCCACTCTACGTCATCATGAGGTACCACTGCCGCGGAGTGCTCGTGGCCAACACATATGGTGGACCAGTTCTGTTGGCTGATAATCTAAAGCTTGATAGTTTATTCCCTTATGGTTATAAGGGAGCCAACGAACTTGTAGCCAAGACTGCGAAGAGGTAACATAGAACCCAAAATGTCATTAATCGGGAGGGGAAGATGGAAGTTTGCATTTAAATAATTATACTATTCATTGTTCGCCCATTGTTTTCCTAATTATTTAAGCGGTTGGAGGCATCAACATATTGTTTGGATTGCGGATCGTGTTTGCAATAAGAGATCAGGTGGAAAAGCTATTTCATTGAGATACGGCTGCGTCGAATTTTTTTTGAATAGGTTCTGGAACGTTTTGAAACAAAAACTTGATGGTTTATTTGCTTACCATTTTCGTTGATCCGGCAAGGGCGCCGTAGTATCATAATATTAAGTTCCATACTTATAGCAATTATATAAATAATGCAGTCTACTGAAATAGCTGACAGCATTTGTAATAATATAGCTGGCGTGTATGATTTTGCTCTCAGCAATCTTTGATATAGTGCAGAGAGAAAGCAATAGGCTGGGATACTGCAAATATCACTTTGGCACACATCATTTGTGGGTATATTGCCTGCAGCTTCGGGTTGCCTCCTCAGCTCCATCCATTACCCCCACTAATGCTGTGTGAGTAGTATAGGGAATGGGGGTTCCAGCGCAATCTCAACACGGGCAAGACCCGTGTCAAAAATCCACCTACGGA